GCATGGCCCAGGCTGCCCAGAGAGGTTGGGGTTCATCCACCATTTACATCAAGAAGTTACCATCAGTCGGTGCCTGCAGCCTTTGAGTTACACAGGGAAGCAAAGCTCCAGCATTTTAAAGAGATATGTTAAGTTAGGATCCTTTTAGAGTTTCTGAAATGCCCTCTGGGAAGGGGAAAGGGGCCAAGGCGAGTGGGGTGCTGCAAGAAGCTGCTTGTCCCTGGGCAGTGCTGGTTCACCCAGGGACCAGGGGGACCACAGGGACCATCCCCTCAGAGCTGGGCTGTGCTCTGGGGAAACTGCTCTCACTTTCCCTGCCTCATTTCAGCTTATTTTTTGCCTGTTTAAAAAGTGCTTGAGGCAAGCGCTCATCTTCTCTGTAGAAGCTTGAAAGCCTGGGGGGTCTGATTGCAACTTCTGTGCTGCCTCAGCTCTGCTCGCTGTTTGCACGGTCCCTGTGAAGCGTGTGCGGGAGGTCTTTGATTCGGATTTGCTGTGTGCAGTGAAAGCACTCTTTAAGTAGAGCAGAGAGCTCTGTCCCACTGCACGTTTCCCTTCTTTTTGGGGTGGCTTGGGCTGTGGGTGTTGTGGCCAGGGCAGCTTCCTCCCCTTGGCCTCAGGGTGGGTGTTGGACGTGGAGCAGAGCGTTCCTGGTGTGCCTGCACGTTGGACCCGAGCAGTGCACAGCTGGCTGGGGGGCAAATGAACACAGTGTAAAGCAAAACCAAGGGCCAGCAGCCTCTACCTTTGGTTGGGGAGATGAGGAGACAGGCTTGCAAATGTAATATTGCTTCCCTTTCCCTTGAGCTGTTAATTCACCTTGAGCTGCAGCCTCCTCCTGCTTCTACCCTCGGTTCTGGCTGCCTTTGCTCACCCACACTTGGCAGTCCCAGCGCACCTCGTTCCCCTCCACAGCCCCAGTGCTGCATTTCCCACAGGGCTCTGCCATGTGCAGTGTCATGAGGGGGCTTTATTTCTATCCGATATGTTTAATCTTTGTGGTTCTGTGTTGCTTCCCCAGGTGCTGGGAGCCATGGCAAACAAGGTGCTGTGCATCGGTGACCAGGTCATCCTGGAAGAAGCTGTCAATGAGACGTACGTTCCCACCGAGCAAGGTAACCGATGCCTGCCCAGTCCACCTCCCTGCTCTACCAGTGTGCTTGGATGTCCTTGCTTCCACAGGGCCACATTGGCAGCTTCCTCTCAGGATCAGGGTTTCCCGGTGTGCCCACTGCTTTAGCCAAGGAGACTGGAGCTGCTGTGTAGTGCCTGGTGTGTAATGCCAACACGGGCTCCTCTTCTGTTTTCCTAGAAGTCCAGGATTTTGCACGGGAGATCGGGATTGACCCTGAGAAGGAGCCGGAGCTGCTATGGCTGGCCAGAGAAGGCATCGTGGCCCCGTTACCACCCGAGTGGAGGCCCTGGTGAGAGCCCTGCCCTTCCCCTGCTGCGTGCTGCCCGTGTGGCTGGCAGAGCGGGCACCGGCTGGTGAGGGTGATGGCGCAGCAGATGTGCGTCCTGTGCGTGGGCAAGGGCTGTCATCTTCTCGTGCTTTCCTTTTGCCGTGCAGCCAGGACACCAGTGGCGATATCTACTACTTCAACTTTGTTAACGGCCAGTCCACGTGGGACCACCCCTGCGATGAGCACTACCGAGAGCTTGTCATGCAGGAGCGAGAGAAGCTGCTGGCGCGCGCCAGCTTGAAAAAGAAAGAGAAGAAGAAGAAGAAAGAGAAGAAAAAGAAAGACAAGAAGGAGAAGCAGTCACTGAAGCAGCCCACTGTGAGTAGGCTCCACCGCTGGGGAGGAGCGAGAGGGCTGGGTGGAGGATGCACCAGTGGCTCTGAACTGGGGGATCTGTGCTGGTTGCTGCTTTGGGGATTGAAAGAGTCATCCCTGACAAGGGATCCCATCCAGCAGGGTTGAGTTGGATGAAATCTGTTAGAAATGGGGTCACAAAACCCACAAAGGGTGGTGCAGATTGCCTTCCGTGGAGAGGACAAGTGGTGTTCACGCAGTGTCCATGCACGCGTTCCTGTGGTATCTGGACACCGAACACGGGTGTAGATGTGCAGGGTTAGCCTGCTTTGGTGATGGGCGCACCTAGAAATGTCGCTTTCTCTTCCTCTGTGAATAGCTGGGCCATTTGGCTCTGTTTTGCCCAGACTTTTCCCTCTGCTGCCTATAACAGGGTCCTGCCCTTCACCGGGAAGAGGGTTCCAGGTTGGTTTGTCATTGACCATAAGTAATTGCCTCAATTTAATGAGAACTTACCAAATCTCCTGTTCTGAAGGAAACAGAACCTGAAAGGTCACTGTATATTAATGTTAACGAATTGCTCGGCTCTGTGGTTGCTGGTACCCAGCTGTGGCTCCACCAGATCGTGCTCAGGTAGCTGCTAAGAAGTATGACTATAAATATCAGATAAACTGCAGATTATCCTGGAAGTTTTAATTAGCCCGGTGGAAGTGAGTTTATCTTTGCCGAAGGACAGCTCACGTCCTCTGCTCTGTGCATGCAGTTAATGGCCATCTGGGCTTATCTAATTATTTCCTGCAGAATGTGTGATTTATTCTGTTATCGTTGCTGTGGCAGCGACTCGGTGGAAGAAGGATCAGTGCGTATTCATCTCCCTCTCCCCATCCCTCAGTGTGAAATAGCTGTCTCCATCTACGGTCTTGCACAGACAGAGCGCAGGAGCTGTGATTTCTGGATGTACCCACATGCTCTGCTGAAGCAGCAGGGCTTGCTGTGCCTGCGAGCTGCAGAGCAAATCCTAGCGCAGTTTGCTTCTAGCGTAACCTGTGCGGTGTCTGACGGGTGACACTGCTTGAGCGGGGAGTGACACCAAGTCAGAGGGAGCAGTCGCACTCCTGGGTGAAGACAGCTTGATGTCAAGGGCGCGTTGCTCAGGGGTGAGGGTGCTGGATGGCTCCCAGGGCTCTGAAACGGCGAGGGGTGTTCAGGAGCTGCTGTCTGCTGCTTCTGGCCTTCCCCCCTGATGTGAGGTGAGGAAGCAGCCCGGCTTTCGGTCTAAAAAGAGGTGGTGATTGCAGCTTGTGCAGGCTTCCGGCCATCAGTGGTTTCTGCTTCGCTCATTTCGCGCTGCACAGGGTGGCAGAGCAGACAGAGGTGAAGCTGCCCGGGTTGCCTCGGGGCTGTGGTGGTGGGTAGGAGCCTCTCCTGGAGGGTGCTGCGTGGGGGTGCGCTCAAATATGTGGGGGTCTCCTGCTTCAGTTTTGGAGTAACGCCCATTGGTTTTCTGAACCGCCTCACTGCTGTGAGGCAAATCGCCGATTCAGGTGGGTGTTTGGAAGGCAAAACGCGAGCAAACCAAACCAGTATTCCTCGTGTCTCACGTGCGTCCCTTCTGCTCCCCCCAGGTCTTGGACACCCTGCTACCACCCATCCAGGTGCCCGTGGGGCCCCTGGCTCCGCTGCGCGGATTTTCGCCATCTCCCGCTGGCATCCTTCAAGGGTCGCTGAACCTGGAGCTGGGCAGCTCGCTGGACTCCAGCCTTGTCTCCAGAGCAGGAGTGCAGGTACGGCTCTGTCTTCTCGGGGAGCAAACTGCAGCAGATCACAGGCAGGGCAGCTTAAACAGAACTATTTGTGATCTCCCATCGATTTTAAGATACTCTTGACTGTTAGAAAAATCCTGCTTCCCTACTCTCTTGCACTCTCTTTCTTTCTTTTTCCTATTTCCAGGCATCCCAGTGCTAGATTTGTGGTGACCTCTCTTCTGCTGTGTTTAGCAGATTTAAAGAGAATTGCTTCCATTACTGCTGGGAGGGGAAAGTCTGTTAAGTTCATTTTGATTTGTGTCCAAATGAAGCGTGTCGTACAGTACACATAATGTAATCTAATAAATAAAATATTCACTCGACTATTATCTGCCGAGATGAAAAAATTAAACCGTTTTCTGGATGAATGTAAGATTTACAATCAAGCCAAATGATTATTCATAGGATGTGACCTTTGGGTCAACAAAACAAACGCATTAAGTGGTAACAAAGCAATCTTAAAGGAAGACACAAGCATACACGTGCAAAACAGTACACAAATCAACCCTGAAGGCTTTCCTCGTGTAGGTCTTGTCACTGGTGACTTCAAACACTGTTTTGTCTCGACCGAGCCCTTGTTTTGAGGCACAGGCGGGTTTTGCAGATGTGCTTCTTTAGGATGGGAGCTCCTTTGGTGTAAGGGGAAGTGTGGCCCCGTAAAGAGTGTGTCATCTGCAGAGGGAGGGCAGCAGTGCAACCCCGAGCACCTTCTCAGAGTTCAGCAGCTTCCCGGGCAGTGTCCCAGTCCGTGTGCCTGGGTGGGTTTGCATCTCCTCTTTCTCACTGCCCTTTCTTCCCACCTTCGCAGCCTGCAGAGCCCTGTAAGGCCATCAGCCCGGCCAAGAAGTTGCTGGGCTTGGTCTGTGAAGAGAAGAGCTCCTTGAACACAGCGGCTCGAGATCAAGGGAGGAAGGAAGAGGACGAAAGTGAGAATGAGGTAGGCTGTGAGCCTTGGCTCTTGGTGTGTCAGTGACCGCAGTGCATGTAGCCGCAAGGAGTGAAGAGCTGTGATGCTCCCCCAGCGCTGGCTGATTGACCGTGGCTGTCCTGTTTGACCCTGGGCCTTAATTTGTGCTGTGTTTGCTCTGTGTGGTTGGTGGCCAAAAAGCATCTCATCCTGTTTTCTCCTTGTGCTCCCTATAAATCAATGTCTGCTGTGATGTATTTCTGAAACGAAATGGCAGTAGGCGTATTGCCCTGGTGTATTGCCGTGGCTCTGCTGCCTTACTTTGCTGATGAGGAGCCCCCGTTCCTCCTGTGGGTCTGCAGAGGTCACCACTCACTGTTGGCCGTTTCCTTTTTTAATACCTTTAGAGTCTCCACGGGACAGCAGAACTGCTCAAAAAGCTGGGCGTGGACATCAACACCTTGGGCATCAGCTTGGACTCCGAGGTAAGAGCGGGCGATGGGAGACGGGCAGAAGAGGAGCTGTGGCAGTGCCAGCCAGGAGAGGTGCCTGAGGGATGACTTTTGTGTCCCTTGGGAGCAGCACCAACCCGGAGTGGGGCTGAGGGAGTGTATGAGAAGCCAGATGAGGTCTGCAGGCGACAGCAGTGTGGGTGTTGAAGGCAGGTTTGTGCTTGAAGAAGAATGCTTGCAGTTTGGTTTGAGGATTCAGCATCTTTGCCCAGTGTGGATCTTTGTTTCTTTCTGGATGCAGAAAGAGAAACTTAAAGCTGTATAGGTGTGATGGGTGAGCTGGAAATCGGCTCTTCCAAGGAACAGCAGAAAAGGGTCTCAGGTCGGAGGGGCGCACTGGTGGAAGGAAGGCTGCTTGAGGCACGGTTTGCTTCCTCATCGTGTTTTAGTGCGTGTGGAAGGAAGGCTCATCCTCAGCTGAAGCTGTGGTGGAGGCACTGGGGAGAGGAGGGGAGAATTCCTCTGGAAACGCCGTTCCTGCAACTGAGAATCTCTTGGAGGCTTTTCCGTGGACCTCCCGTGGCCACTGACCTGTGGCAACCCCAAAGCTGTTTTCTCCTGCGCTGCCGACCGGTGCCGAGGCTCAGATGCAGAGCCTGGTGCGCGCCTGGCCTCGTGCAGATGCTTCGCTTGCTCCGCGGGTGCGCGCTCTGCCTGCGCTCTCTTAGTGAGCAGGCTCGGGATGACAAGGGCACAATGGGAAGTGCGCCGCAAGCAGCTCTGCTGATTTGGCCCCACTGTCTGTGCTGACACTAATCCCTTCTTGCCGCTTTGAAAATTCTGTTCCAGTATCTGAAAGGCAAATTAATTTCTTTTAAAGTGGTTTACAGTATTTCCCTTATCCTTTTCACAGCATACAAGAATTAAGCTGTAAAGCACTTTGCTGGAGAACCCATTCACGGTGCTGGGCAGAGGCTTATGCTAAAGTGGATGTGAGAAAGAAAGGCCCGACTCTCATTTCCAAACAAGCAATTTGTCACTGAAATGTTAATGTGTCAGGAACAAAAGCTGTCTCGGCGTTTCAGTGGCGGCAGGGCTTCAGGAATCCATGAGGAAATGGCAATTGCTGCCCAGCAGCCGGGTGCTGCTAACCCAGACGGGTGAAACCTTCGTCCTGGTGAGACTTCGGTGCCCCGCTGGAAGATACAATTCCGTTGTGGTGCCATGAGATGGCAGCAGAAAGGCGTTGGTGTGAGCAAGCCGCAGCCCCAGCCGTTCTCCAGCTTCCTTACAAAATGGAGAGAAGGAAGGATTTGTATAGCAAGCCCCACAGGGCTGACGTCTAAGCAGTAATGGGGTGAGGTGATGGAAAAGCTGGCTTCAGGTAGCCTGGGGATCGGGGTTGAATACCTGTGTTCAAAGGAGATCAGCACGTGGGTTTGGTGACTTGCTGACACAGCAGGATCTTGAGTGAGAGCGGAGGCAGGCGCCAAGAGGAGAAGGTCTGGCAGCATTTGTGGGTGTCTGGGGAGAGCGTCCCATGGCAGCAGAAGTGATCCCCCGTGCAGTGCTCACAGCCTGGGAGGTGCAGTACTCTGTCCTCTGTACAGGGCAGTCGCTGGCTTAACACTGGGAGTCCAGGGGTGCTACGTGTGATGGGAAACTGCCGTGCCAGGCCTGCGTACCAGATGGAGAGGTGTGAAAGGGAGCTGTCTCTGTGAATAAACACGGTGCAACACAGCCTGTGCCCTGCTGCGGAGCTGGGTGTGCAGGAAGCAGTGCTGCTGGCTCCCAGGAAATGAAGACATCAGTGAAAGGGCAGGATGGCTGCTGTGTTCACAGCCTTGTGCTCTGCCGTGCCGGGGGAGCGTGGCTGAGAGCTGAGTCCTGAGCAGGACGAGTCTGGTACCACAGCCAGCTCGTGGAGCCGGGCTGCAGGAAAAGCAGCAGCAGCAGCAAGGCACGCAGAGCACAAGGTTTGGTGTTTGGGAGTCACTTCCTGCTCAGAGGGGTGGTGGGAAGGTTTTTACCAGTGGCTGGTACCCACCCGCTAGGAGAACAAGAGGAGCCAAACTGCGGCAGCCAGTTCGCTGATGGCGCTGAAGTGGATCTCCAGCCGCAGAGGAGTCCCGAGGAGGAAGCTGGTAGCCTGCGAGAGGTGATGGTGGCTCTGGCATCGCGGTGCTGCTCTCCCGATGTCGCCCGAGCTCTGCATGCAGTAGGCAGCTTCCAGTGGCGTGGTGTGGATCCGCTGCTTGCTTGGCTCGCTCGCTTTGCTGGTTCAGGCATTACACGCATGGAGAGAGGTGTGAAGCAAGGCGCGGGCATGGCAGCTTTCAAAGCCGGTCTGTGTGTAGTAGGTTTTTGTCTCTCAAAGGTAGAAAGAATGTGAATGTGTTGTTTGTAACCTCTGCTGACCAAGCACCGAACTGGAGAGGGGCCCTAAGCTTTCGGTTATTGCTCGGTGAGTTGCAGGTGAGGGTCTGGACTGCAGCTCTGTGGAAAGTGGCCGGTGATTAGATTGCTATGTCCTCCTCGGCAGCGTGATGGATGGCGCACTCAGCCCTGAGAAGGTCTCTCAGACGAATGATGTGCCGAGAGATGCTCTTTGGTTTGCCGCAGCTCTGGGTTTAAAGCTGACAGCATTCCAGTTGCACTTTGATAAAAATACCCCGTTAAAATATGCGCTCTGTGTACGGTACACGCTGTACGCAGGCTGCAGCTAATGTTTGACAAGGCTCCGCAGCATTAATAAAACAGTGCGAAAGTAGGACGTGCTAGCGGTTTTGTTTGCATACTGATGAGGGAACCTTTTCCTGCTCCCTCCTGGCTGCTGCACTCTGTGAGCTTTGTGGGCCTCCCCGCTGCTGGGAGAGGGAGCCAAACCTTTGGGTGACTGAGCCTTAATTTGGGATGGTTTTTCCCTAGACCAGTGGACTCTCCCGTTTGCCCAGCGTGTTAACTGGTCACGGTCCTGCTCTGAGCTCAGGGGTGGCATCAGCCAGCGCCTGCCCCCGAGTCTGTCCTGCTGGAAGGTGGGCTCATTGCATCCTGCCCACTCTCTGGGTATAACTTCAAGTTAAATGTCCGGCAGTGGTCCCTTGCAAACCTCTGTCTCGCTGCACAGATCCAGTGTGGAAGTGTAAACGGGTATGCTGCAGAGCACGTAGGGTGCTCCCAGGGCTGGTGGGCCTTGCAGCAGCCACCCCTAACTCATCCACAGAGACTGTGTTTAAAAAAGCAACAGATTACAAAAGTCTGAACCCAAGAAAGAAGTGTGTTGATCTTAATGGAGTTGTCTTTGACAGAGGCTGTATGAAAAGGAGTCAAGCTGGTCTTTAGTCACCCAAAGCTTTGTGGTTTTGCTGCTTGCTGTAGGAGAGCCCATGCTATTTTTGACTCCTGCATCCTCCCGGTGAGGGGTACAGCATGTTATAGCTGTAATTGTTTGACTTGCTGCCTAGAATGAGTCTCTAAAGTCGAGATACCCTGAAGAAGGGCAAGAGCTCTCCCTGGATTCTGACGCTGCGTGCCCTCCGACTCCAGACCAAGTCCTTCCTGGGGATGCTGACAGCAGCCTGTCTGGCCAGAGCAAGGAGGAGCCCAATGGGGCACTTGCTGGGAATGAAGTCCTGGCCCAGCAGGGTGCTGCGGTGGAAGGTGACGTCTCTGCAGCCGAGGAGGTGCCGCAGCCTGTGGGGGAAAGGAGCGCAGCAGGGACAGATGTGCCCAGCGGTGCTGGGCAGCCTGGGGCCGCAGCCCCCGCTGCCGAGGAGGACGAGCTGGCGAGCCTGGCTGG